CATATGCCACAGTCAACATTCGGAATGCGTCCGCGCACTTAATTTTGTTTTTCACACAAAATTTGATACAGATTCTTTGATCCATTTTTTGGAATAGGCAAAAATCGAAGACGAGCCAAAACACGTGCAAGCAAAGCAGCTGTCAAAAATTAACTGAACATTCAAAATGGCCGAACTTGTCGGCATAAGTGAGAGACATGAGTACCAACATAACGCCACAAAAAATCGAAAATCGAATATACGTAACCCGCGAAAATTCAAAATTTGCGATTCTTTTTGAACAGACCTCGTAGATGTTTTCTTGCATAATTATATATTAATAATGTATATCAGATGTGCGTACTAAAGATAAATGGAATTATTCTTTTATGTGAAAAAATATTATTCGATTTGTTGCATATAATATATAATTAAAATAAATTTTATCATTTAATTTCGATTACTTTATTATAAATTTTTATTGATTGAAATCAACAAAAAAGTAAAAATAAACAAAATAAATGTGGGTAAGGAATAGTTCGGTATTAACTGTGACTCGGTTGGTGCGGACACTTGTACTTTATTTGTTAGACGGAAGTCGAAAGCGTGGTGCATTCGCGTCGACGAGTAAAAAAAGACTGACTTCTCAGATCGTTGCTTGGCTTATAGAATCCTGAATGAACATAGGTGTATTAATCGTATGTGTTGTACAACAAGGTTCCATATTTCGAAAAGCTGAAAGAAAGATGTGTACATATGTTGACAATATGCAATTCAGTTGAATGAGTGAAAAGGATGTCTATGACGCTCACATGGACGATATATTTATTTTAACTTGTAAACGTTTAACAATTAGAAAATGATTTAAAAAATATTAGAAAACATATTGTAATATACGTATATTAATTGTTTGTTATTCTTTTGATAAGAAAAATATATCTGAGGGCGACGCCGTGCGCACGTGTCGCTACAGTACCCCCCTGCTAGTGATTTGCCTAATCACGAGAAACTGCCCTGAAGTCGGTCCGGGAATCGCACTCGTCTGCCCGATCGTGTGGTTTGCCATAAAGCGGTCTTGGTCGGCTCCTGGGCGGTTGGTGGGTCGGTCCTCCTTGCTGAATTTTCTGGGTTATCCAGCTCCGATGGCACGGACGGTTGCAATGATGTGCTGGAACTTAGGGGGTTCTCCAAACGCTGCTCGGTTGGTAGCGAGCTAGCCTTCTATGGTTCCTCGTCTTCTGAAATGATGTAGGTGGGCTTCAGCCGATCGATAGACACGGTTACATCCCTACCTCGGATGTGAACCACGAATGTTTTCGGTTTGCGGCTGACCACTTTGTAGGGTCCGTCATACGGTTGCTGCAGGGTTCCTCCAGGTGCGTTGTGGCGCACGAATACTTGGTCCGCCGTACTGAGATCTTTGAACACAAAGGTCCGCCGTTCGCCGTGGCGGGTGCCGTTTGTCGGGCGGAGTCTTCGGAAGTGCTGCCTTAAATCTTTGACGTATTCGGCCGCGTCGCCTTCTGGGAGTGCTCTTGAAGCCAAGAACTCTCCGGGCAACCGAATTGACTCGCCGTAGAGAAGGTCGGCTGTGGTCGCTCCCAAATCCTCTCGCCACGCAGCCCGGATGCCGAGCAGCACGGTGGGAAGAACCTTTGTCCATTGGTCCTTCTCGTGGCACTTGATGGCTGCCTTGAGCTGTCGATGTAGTCGCTCTATCATCCCATTGGCCGCTGGGTGATACGCTGTTGTCTTGAGGTGCGCTACTCCGTATAGCGCGCTAAGCTGCCTGAATAGCTGCAATTCGAATTGTCTTCCCTGATCGGTGGTGATGGGGAGTGGGGTGCCGAATCGAGCTATCCAGCCCTCTCGTAGAAGGCACGAGCGACGGTGACGGCCTCCTGGTCCACGAGCGGTATCACCTCAGGCCATCGAGAGAATCGGTCGACGCAAGTCAGGCAGTACCTGTAGCCTTCCGAGCTGGGCATGGTGATTAGGTCGAGATGGACGTGCTCGAACCTCGATGATGGTGGTGCGAAGGTACCGCACGGCGCCGAAACATGACGAGTTATTTTTGATCGCTGGCACTCTATGCAGCTTCTTGCCCAGCTTCGACAGTCGGATTTAATTGACGGCCAAACGAATTGTTGTGTAACTAGCTTGACGGTCGCCTTGATCCCTGGATGCGCGAGCTGATGTACCGATTCGAATGCCGCCCGGCGGAACTGTTCGGTGACGAACGGTCTTGCTGTTGTTGAAGACACGTCGCAATACACACTCACCGGTGTCCCCGGTAATTGCACCCTTTTTATCTGCAGTGCCGAGTTCCCATTAAGGTAGATTTTTAACTCGTCGTCGGTCTCCTGTGATGTTGCCAGAGCCTCGTAGTCCAAGGCTGCGATTTTTTCAACGCGTGAGAGGGCGTCGGCGACGATGTTGTCCTTACCGTGGATACGTGCCTGATATCGGTCGAGAATTGATCGATAAAGTCGAGGTGACGGCATTGCCGGGGCGAGCTCTTATCGGCTTTCTGTCGAAAAGCAAAGGTGATCGGCTTGTGGTCCGTGTAGATAGTGAAGGTCCTAGCTTCTATGTGCCTGAAATGTTTGACGGCGAGGTAGATGGCGAGGAGTTCCCGGTCGTATGCGCC